TTTTTGCACGTGGGGGAATTAATTGGAATGTTTCCATTGAGGTTATATATGCCTAAATACAAACGCTGCGTGCAGATGGGGCTTAAAACCTGTTGGACGCTTGCAGGAACGCGTGTGGTGTATAAACACGTCGATACACTCCTGCCTGAATATACAGCGTGATTTCTGTGTGCCTGTGGCCCTGTGCGGGCGGGGGCGGGCGCGCTGTCGGTGTGCCGAGAAAGGAGACAGAATTGAATGCATCGATGTGTCCTTTTCGTTTTTTCTTCTCCCCAAAGCAGCCGCCTGCCCAACTGCGCCTGGTTTGGATTCCCGTCTATCTCTCTTCTCCGTGCAAGATCTCCCGGATTTCCCCTACCAGAGAAGCCCTGTGTTGAATTTCTAGCGCACATCACCTCTTTCTTTTTTTTTTTTAAAAAAAAAAAGAGAGAAGAATTTCGATGGAAAACGGCTACGGCTCTGCTAGCAGCACCGCCAGGAGCAGAGATCTCAAGGAGCGCCTTTGCTTTGCCTTTCCAAATGACGACAAAACAGAGGCACAAAAAGCAGAACCCGGCCCCACGTCCCTGTGCGGGCGAAGCCCCGCAGCGCCGAGCATCGAAAACGCTGCGGGGGCAAAGGAGCGGACGGGAGGGGAGTTGGGGGAAGCTGAGCTCTTGTCGCACCCCGCAAACATTTATGTATCTTAATCGTTGTAATTAAAAACGAAAGCAGGAGTCGGGGATGCGGCGGAGCGCGGGGAAAATCCATCTATCGATGAACGAAGAAATCGACAAATGAAGAAGTAAAATCTCGAAGTGAATCGATGTGATTTCGGGGAGCGACCTCCCGAAAAGAAATCACGGCGCTGCAAACGAAACGGGGTCGGACGGCGCTCCGGGCAACGAACCGCGTCCTTCCCACGCTGCTCCTCAGCCGGGGGGCGGTCAGCGGCCGCTGCGGGGCCGTTTTCTCCCGCATGGGAACGGTGGATAACGAACAGCGAAAGAGATCGGGGCTGGGGACGGAGGGAGAAATCATTTCCGAGTTGCTCCGCGGGTCCGAGCTGAGAATTGTTTCAAAATCGCGCACACAAACACACAAATAAAATGTTTAGGGAGGCAAACGAAGCAGAAGAGAAATGTTTCAGCGTGGGGCAGGGGATAATTGGGTGAACGCAGCCGGCGGATGAGCGGCTAAATGGATGGATGGGTAAATGCGTCAAACGCGCACGGGTATTTTTAAAGGATTCTGGTTGTTATTTCGAGCCGGAAGGGATCTGTGTACCCTGCGAGGGCCGTCGGAGGGGTCTGCATAGAGCCGGCACAACCTGAGCCCGGCTGTAGGGACGAGTCCCGGATCGTGGCATATTATATATATGCACCTTCTGGTATCGATCTATACGGATCGATGGGTTTGTGGATAGGTCTGTGGATCTATAGGTTTATAGAGCTGTAGGGTTATAGAGCTACAGGGTTACAGATCTGTAGGTCTGTAGAGCTGTATGGTTGCGGGTCTTTATGTTCGTAGAGCTGTAGGTTTCTCGTTTATAGGGCCGGGGGGCGGCAGCTTCGCACGGCGCTGGTGCGGAGCAGCAGCTGCGATGTGGGGCGCGGGACGGGGGGTATCGAGGAAAAAGGGAGTGTGGGGGGGGGCTGGCCTGGCTGCCACCGGGTTTGGGGCACGATCGGGCCGGGCGGGAGGAGCCCTGCGAGCACGGAGACGTCTCGGGGCGGCACCGCGGCTCCAGGAGCCGCCTCCCTCCGTCTTGTTGGGTATTTGGGACCGGAGGTTGGGAGCTGCCGATCCCCTGCCCGGCAGCTCTTTGTGTGCCCCCTCCCCAGCCTCCATCCCCCCCGCCCGTCCGGGAGCACTGGAGCAAAAGGGGAACCCAGCGAGCACCAAACCCCGCTGTCAAATTTAGGGCTGAATCCGCCTCTCCAAAAGCTGCGGGGGTTTGGAAGAAGGAAAAGCACCGCGCTCCCCCCGCGCCCCCCAGCAGTGCGTGTGCAGCGCAGCGTCAGAGCTGGAGGGAGCCCCGTTCGGCCCCCCGCTTTATCGCGTCGCCCGTCGCACCTCTGGAGCCGCTTTCCTAAACAAACCTCACATCTGTTTACGGTCTTAAAATGCCCCGTCCCCCCCCCATCCCCTCCCCACCCGCGCTACCCCCCCTTACAGGCCAGGTACTGCCGCTAGGGATGTCCAAAGAGTGCCATGGCCCGGGGGCGTTTTTAATTTTGTTT